GAGAGACTAGAGCATAAAGTATAACATATAAATCACGATTCTCCTGTCAACTCCTCGTAATTTTCAGGATACCTACATACAAAAAAAAATTATAATTGATATGCGTAAACCCTATTGCCACTATCACTTGCAATGGAAATGACAAAATCATGAAACAAGCAACAGAGCACAAATGTCCAAATTAAAACGTATATCTGTTCTCCCAGAGCTAATCTCAACATATGAACGAGAGAGAGAGAGAGAGAGAGAGAGAGAAGTGATTAGGCGCATATGCATTTGATAATACCTGGCGAGGACGGAAAGGCGCGAAGACCAAGGGGCAGGGGTTCCGGTGGTGGGGCGATTGGGGACGGCGGGACTGTCGAGCAGTTGTCGTCGATTGTCGGCGAGCGGGGTGGAAATATCATCACTTCGGTTAGCGACATTTTTGCGTGAAGTTAAGCTGGACTTTTTAGTGGGGGGAGAGAACATAGCTGCTAATGTTCGAATCAATCGTCTTCACTGCTTCTGGTTATGGGGTTTAGGGTTTTGTTTCAGAGGAGAAGCTCGTTCTATTTTCTGTTTTTTTGTCAGTCATTTTTTGAATTTTGGTAATGGTGGAGGGTATTTCTGTAAATTTTAATTTTTAAAATAGAGTTCCTCCAACATAGCAACAATTCATAGTTTCATTTGAATTTTGAACAAGTTTTACCCAAAGTACAACTTGGTATTTGAAGTTTGCATCTCTATAATTATAAAACCATTTGTTGATTTTTGTTCTATATATTTAGGGTAAATTCCACTTTACCCCCTTGTACTCTGCCCAAGAACCACTTTACCCCCTCGTACTCTTAATTTCGTCGATTTACCCCCTTGTACTTGTACAATTTCCCAATACAACCCTCTTCATCAACTTTTTTCGATTTTGACTCTGACGCCATTTGGTCAAGAGTCAAAATATTGACGTAAATATTGAATTTTTTCGATTTTGACTCTCGAGATTAGAAAAGAGAAAGTTTCGCACATTCATATATTTTTTTCTTTGCACTGGGTGGAATTGATCAATTTTTGGGTCTTGATTTTTACTAAGTTAGGGGTTCAATTTGGGGATATCTTGGAAGAGGAAGTGGTGGGAGAAGAAGAAATGACAATATTGACGGAGGAGAAACGACGCATTATAGGCAGTGGCAATTTTGTAATTTACAGAGTTGACCAAATGGCGTTAGAGTCTAAATTGGCAAAAATTGAAGGAAAGGGTTGTATTGGGAAATTGTACGAGTACAAGGAGGTAAATCGATAAAATTGAGAGTACGAGGGGGTAAAGTGACTCTCATGCAGAGTACGAGAGAGTAAAGTGGAATTTACCCATATATTTATACATTTAATCATTTATATATATATATATATAATACATTAATTCCTTAATGTAGACTTTGTTTTTACTTTTTTTTTTTTTTTTTGGGGTTCATCCTAAAATAAATTTTGATAAATTCGTGACTATACATTGAAAGAAAAAAATTGGATGTCTAACGACACATCCGAGCTACGAAATCCCGAATGTGACCTTAGACGTCTAGATTTTACAAGCACAATGTGTTTTTTGGCGTAAAAATAACGATTTTGTAACAATTTTAACAAATACTTGAAAATCCATTTCGAAGTTTTCGTCGAGGATGTTTCTGATTCACCCACGGACATCAACAACAATAACATCCGACACTTAAAACATACAAGAACCAAACATGTTGTCTTATATATAATGTTTTCCCTCAACAAATCCCAAACATAAGTAAACTGTAATAGTATCTCCTGATCTCGAAGAACTCGAGACAAAGGGGAAGGTTCTCCGAAGAAGAACCGACTTTTCTTAGCAAAACTTAAGACATAAAAAAAAAAAAAAAAAAAAGGAAATACGTATAGCTTTCCTATATCTAGACTTGAACATGAAATTAAAAATTAAGAAAAGTACACATCCCATATACATACATGAAAACCAAGATCAAGGTTCGAGCTTCAACGAAACAACTCGAGATTGCCTGTTGCGTTTCTCAGCCTTGACGAATACAAGTGATAGACAAGACGAAGCCCACCAAGGCCTGCGTACCTTTTGCTCCCCTTTCAAGCAAGCCACTGATGCATGATTATAATCATTCAGTAAAAAATATGCAATTCCATGTTAATAGAGACGGTCCTATGTTATATGTGCTGAATTTTCAGAAATAGTTGATGTAATTAAGACCAAGAGCACGAGCTTCAAGAACATCAGAACGATAAAATCAGATGATATTTTTCACAAACAAATTAGGCAGAATAGTATAAGTGTATAACAGGAGAGATCCCCATAATGAACTGCTATGTCTATAAATATAATCTTTTTTTTCTTTTTTTTTTTTGAAATTATCGGTCATGTGGCTGGTGAGGGCAATATAGACATTTGCGTATTGACTTTTGGTATATCATCTCCATAGATGCTGGGGTTGGTCTTTATATTTGGTGCAATAGTTGGTGTAAGTAGTGGATGAGTTAAGGAGGATGTCATAATTTTTTTGGCTTTTTCTTCGATCCGCATTTGAAATCAAAGAATAAATAACAAAAACAATACAATAATCAAGTTTCAGTCTATACACTAAACATATAAATCCTACAACTCATTATGTAGTAATGATCATCCATCACGTTTGCAATTAAGAAAACAAACAGGCACTATGTCTTTTGAACTGACAAATTAGAGATTCAACTAGAAATACCATAAACATCGAGGGACCATTAACTTAATCACGAGCAACTGATGCAGTTTAAGATGTGATCGGACGATATTTTACACGGTTAAGACAGATATAAAGAGGAAGAAGGGTAAGAAGAGAGGGCGAAAGGGACCTTTTATTCGTCTGAGCTCCTTGCACAAAGTTATGAAATCACCCCATTTCATGTGGCACTTCCTTATGAACCGAAGTATCTGTTCAGTCGTAAACATCGACATCCCTTCCAAATACTCTCCATTAACCCTATTTTCCTTGAAAATTTGTCGATAACTTCCGAGATTTATCTCTTCCAACCACAGGCCAACATCCTATGAACAAATAAATCCAAAAAAACGAAAAATTGATCGAGAAATACTTCCATTAAACAATTATTCTCTTACCCTGTCTTCTATTTTTCTTTTTCAGGTCCTTCAAACGAACACGAAGCATATTTTATTTCTTAGCAGAGTAATTTGTTTATATAGCTCTATAATTAACATGGATCAAATGCTAGTTTAACCAACTCATTTTACAATTCAGTTTTCAAACCCAATTTTTTGCACATTCATTAGAAACAAGAGTCAAGATTCAAACTAAAAATCACCAAAACATTATAAAATAATCAGTACACCATAAATTGACTAAACACAAAAACTTCAATTAAAAAAAATATATTTTCATGATTATTTCAACACCCCCACCCCCAAAATCAACACTAACCAAGCAAGCAGCAAGAATTTGATCAACTGGAACAGGTAAATAATCAAATAAAATAAAATAAATACACAAAGAATTACAAAAAAATTACAAGATCCAAAGAATTAAAATTTAAAAAACAAGATCAAACAAAACGAATTGAAGAATTAAAAAGAAAAATGAAAGCTTTACTACCTCAACAGTCCAAATGAAGAAATCAAGAGGCTCAGGTGACCTCACTTTTTCTTTGCTCATTTTGCAGAAACCAACCCTTTCTCGAAAGAGAGAGAAAAAAAAAAAGTAACCTAAAATTCAACAAACGGCGTGCAATTGAGATTAGTAATGAATTTAATCACAAAATGTATTAGTACAGCACAGTAGAGAAATACAGTTGATGGCAATTATTGTAAAAGCAAAATCCAAACCTTCCAATAATCGATGAATTAAGGGTCGTGATTTCCTACATTAGGTGATGAATGAGTGCGTGTAAGTCTTTCAATTCAGTGTGTGTTGGTACCTGTGTGTATTGTGTGGAAGAGAGAGAAACAGGAGAGAGAGAGAGAGAGAGAGTATTGAAAGGAGAGAAAGAGAGAGTTGTTTATACTTTATTATTATTATTAGGGTAAATTACACCCACACCCCTGAGGTATGCTTAAATAACTTTAATGTCCCTATAGTATCGATAATTACACTCACCCCCTTGAAACGTAGTTATAAACTCTAATGGGATAATGCATTGGATACGTTATTACGATAGAGTTCTAATGGACTATTGGTTTCAGGAAGTGGTGGAGACAACAAATATTTATGGGTGATTTAAGAAATATTGGGCGAGTCATGTCACCCCATAACTCTATCTTATCTCCACCACTAGCTAAAATTAATAGTCCATTAGAACCCTATCGGAATAATGTATCCAATGCATTATCCGTTAGAGTTTTTAACTACGTTTCAGGGGTGAGTGTAATTATCGATACCATAGGGTCCTTAAAATTATTTAAGCATACCACAAGGGTGTGGGTGTAATTTACCCTTATTATTATTATTATTATTATTGTGGGAAGTGTTTGGCTTTAACTTTTTAGAAACTGGGGTTTGGCCTACTCAAAACTTAAACTATCTTTTGTCCTCTTTTGTTGCTGAATTAAATGGCCCCATCTACTTTTTCTTTTCATGTGCTTTGTCCAAACTACCCTTGCCCATGAAATGATGTTTCATCTTTCATACCAGCACTGCTAGTATATAGTTCCAGTAATATAACAACAAATATTATAACATAGGTTTCATGTTTGACCAAACCCACTCAGAAAAAAATCAGATTATTACATTACATAGCACAATAATTCATTCAAGAATCATCTTGTTTCTATAATTCAATTGTCACCAAAGAATCAACCAAACATACCCTAAGAAATGCACAACAAATCCAATGATACATTAGAAGAAAAAAAACCCGAAAACTACAACACGTAATATCGGCACTTTCGGCCAAATTACAACACCGTTTATAGGAAAGAAATCACAAACCAAATCAAGCACTAACAAGATAGAGAGATATATATATTAATGTCTCATTTCGACTTTTATTGCCGGAAAACAAAAAATCTCAAAAGCTGCCGTTTGAGTAATCATTGGTCGGTTTAATAGCTTCCGAAGATCCTTTAGTAGTTTTACTGATGATGCCTTTACCAAAATACTCAGCAATTACAGAAAAGCCATTCTTTGAACTTCTAACTTGTTGGAAGAAGTAATCTTGGTTTTTGGAGTTCTGTTCTAAGTTTCTCTTCGTTTCCAAGACAGATCTGTACTCGGGAGCACACTCTGGACATTCTTTCTCGTTGTCACCTAGGCACCGTTGATGAAAAGAGTGCATACACATGAAATGTACCGCGGGGAGATCGAGAGTGAAAGTACAAGCGGTGCACTTGCTGAGCTGGAATATTCTTGCATTTGTCCGAAGATCTTGGATTTCTTTTCTCATGGCTGATGTTTCCTCCTGCAAATAAACAAATGGTTTGAGCTTGTTTTTTACAATACATATTGTACACACAATGTTTGCAGTACCGGCCAAAGAAAACCGAAAATAGCAAATGCAGGAACAAAACAATTGCTCCTTCAAAAATTGAACAAGTTTCGTACACAGATGATTCTTGAAAGTATCGACATCATTGAAAAGATTCTACAAATGACGTCATTAGATTATGACCATATTTGAAGACGCCAAGTCCTGGAAATCAAATTTCATCTATAATCCGGCTCGTATTTTATTTTGCAGTTGAATAATCAGAATATAAAATGGAATCAAGAATCAACTGCATTTCTATAGACGGACAAGCAGTGAAGATTTAATATTGGAGAAATTTGAAATTTGGAACCAGATGAAAGAGAAGACTAAAAGTATACTGCAGAAGAACAGTCTTAACTAGATACTGTCAGAAATTCTTGAAGAAACTTCTAAAGCACCGTTTAAAAACCTAATGCAGAATTTAAAATCCAAAACCAAAAACAATCTATAATAATGCAGGTATATGTTGAGATAGTGGATATAGTCAGTAAGTTCTTGCAGTATAACAAACTCTAGTTCTTTACTTATCGAATGACAAAAGAAAGATGCCTTAAGTGAAATGAAAAAATTACCTGATACTTTTCAATAGCTATCCGATCCTCATCAATCAGCTTCGACTCCTTTTCCAGCTTTCGAGCTATATAATCCTTAATCACAGAAAGAGTAAGGCATGGATTTCTCGACAAGGTTTGAAGAACTACAATGGGAGGCAACATGTCATCCCTTTCTATGTAAGTCAAAACTTCTTTGACTTCTTTCGAGCAATCTTCTCCAAGTTCACCAAAGTACTTCAACAGATCTGCCCAAAGAGATGCGTCACCGCCCTTACCCGAATCCCCTAATCTCTTGCAGCACGCAATTAAACCTTCGTGATCGTGCGCCTGCATATAACATGCAATGACCTCTTTATACAGTTTCATCTTCTCGTACAGATACAATAGCCCTTCTTTAAACGAGTTCATTTCACACAGAATTATCGCAAGGTCGACATCGTACAGTGGCTGCTCCTGTTCGGCGGGCCAAGCATTTTTCAGCAAGATCAGCCCTTTTCGACGTCTCTCTTTGCGATATTTCTCCTCGATTGCATCATCAGAAAATACGTTTCCATTACTCTCTGTTCTTGAAGTTGTTGCAGCAGCATTTGAACCTCTATTCGTTCCAAGATCGCCGTTTTCATTGCTGCCAGTCTGTGAAAGAGAAGGGAAGTCCAAGTCATGAGACAAGTACAACTCCATTAGCGTGTTGTTGATTTCGACTTGAGCAGGAGAATCCTTCACTTTGTTGGTGTATTTTTCGAGAAATTCCATAAGCGACTGTGGATGGTGCACGAAAATATTGAGAAAATCGACAGGAGATGGCAGCATGGTTATAAAGGTTCCACCTTTAGCCGGTTCTCCTTCTTCGGTACAAAGCCTCATCAGTATTTGAATTGTCTCCTTCGGCTTGTGCTCTACGAGAATCTTCCCATACTCTTCAATGGTCAACCCGGCTTGACTTGGGTCGAGGCTATTTATATACTGCAACGCCTCATCGTACCTATCCAAGTCCTCGAGTAAAATCTTCAAGTACCATTCATGCTTCCCTGACTTCTTTGCAACATACATCGCGTGCTCGTGGTAATTAGCAGCTCTGCATACCCTTATCGCAGTTTCCACATCGAATTTATGTTCATCCTCGCTTTTAATGAATAGATCCAGCTTGTCAACGTCTTTTAGTTTCGTGTAACAGTTGAGCAAAAGAGTGGTGTGATCTTTTGAAGCAAGCCCCTTCTCGTGTAACTTCTCCAAGTAATTCGTTAAATTGTAAATTCTCTGTGCATCTAAAAACTTCTGAATGACATACGAAGGTTCTAAATGACCGATCGTGAGTATATACTGAGCCATCGCTTCGTCATAGTCTTGTTTGCTGTACAAATGGTCGCCGTATTTCCTCAGCACCTCAGCAGTTGCCACAGCATCAGCTTGCTGGCTCTGGACAAGATTAATAGCTACCGTGTATAGATTTTTCTTGAAAAGCAAATCCAACTTGCTCTCCATATCCTTCTCCACGATAAAAAGGGCAGATTTGTCGGCCATTATGAGTACGATTGTACCCCATTCACAGAGCATGTGGGAAACTTCTTGAACTGCGATACTATGGGCTATTAAACGGTTCTTTAGATCGTAAATGTTGAAAGTATTCTTCCCAGTTCTTTGATCAGCAATAACACATAAAAGGTACCCACGAAACCAGCCGAGGAACTTTTTCTCTCCCTCAAAAGCCCAACACGGGCCTCGGCCATCAACTTCATAGAAATACACAGCTTCGGGCCGACCAATAATCAGTTCCTAATTCCCAAAAAAAGAAGAAAAAAAAAAGAGTTTAGTTCATTTACTTTATAATTTAGAACAAAGACTGAAATAAAGAGAGCGTAACCAACCAAGCGATCACTCATTGCTACACTAGCAGTTTCGGAACCAATGTGATCAAGTGTTTGTCCAGTAGGTGTTTGAGCATGCAAGTTAAACAAGCTCACTGAACTTGATGTGACAGCAAAGAGTTGAAACGCTTGACCATCCACACGAAATCCGAGCCCTGTAATAGCTGACTTTGTTTTGCCAGGCTGACCACTGTCAACCTCTAGCTTGAAGCGTTTAATTCTTTCACGGGCAATGTCGCCTTGAATGCAATAAATACAACCGTTGTCCAATCCAAGTGCAATAAATATAATCGGTGGAGCTTCCTCGAAAACCACGAAAGATGTGATCTGTTGAACAGCCATTTTAAGGGTATTTTAACTTCACAAGCACGCCTATACAAAGTACACATTTAATAATAAGGGTGTTTATATTGCATAAACTGTACCTTTGCTTCGGGAAATTGGTTGGTAAAAATCCGCAGAATTTGGAGGCACTCTGGACTTGATGAACTCGACTCCTCTTCTTGCCTTTTATCAAGGTCGAAAACCTTTAGGCATATAGCCGCTTGTTGTGGCGGCATTTGTTCATCTTCTCCAACTGTCACTAAGAAGTTCCGTTGCTAATTCGCCAGCACAGAAAACGAAATTTTGCGTTAAGTAAAGTATGGAAATCACAGGTTACTGGACCAGGAACACAATGAAAAAAATACCCTAATTGAGCTTAATTGAAAATTATAGCATTAAAATTAATTGTCAAGCCTAGAGTTTTAATGATAAGAAAACATCGATTTGTCACAATCAGAAGAACAATTGGATCAAACACACACACACACACAAAACCTTATAAAACCCAGGATGAAATTGGGGATAATTAAATGTTAGATACCTTGAGTTGTTGGAGTAGGAGAACGGAGGCGGAGTGAGCGGGGAAGGAGCGGTGGAGCTGGAGGGTACGATCGAGAAGCGAAACGGTGCCGTCTTGGGAACCTAAGACGATCCTGCCTCGGCCGCTGGAGCAGCATTGAATTCCGGCCTCTATCTCCTCCGGAATTTTGATCTTCTTCTCCTCGAAGAAGTCGAATTTCCTCCACTGATACATTAAATTCTGATTTTTGGTATAATTTATCTCCTCGCAACAAATTAATTTCAGAAGAATAGATTACATATACTACGTGGATCTATAAATAGGAAGACGGACGGATGGTGGAGCTGCCGGCGGCAGTGGCGGTGGTGGTGGTGGAGGAAGGTGAATCAAGGGTGGGGTTGCGCCGGTGAGAAGAGAACGTGGCGGTGGGGGTTGTCAAACTTGTTTATTTGCAAGAACAAATTTAATTTTATAAGTTTTTAACAATTTATTATCTAGAAAATCAAATGCAAATAGTAGACTTTGATTTTGATTTGTAAGACTCAAAGTAAATAAATAATTAAAAGGGTAAATTACACCCACACCCCTGAGGTATGCTTAAATAACTGTAAGGTCCCTGTGGTATCGATAATTACACTCACCCCCCTGAAAGGTAGTTAAAAGCTCTAACGGGATAATGCATTAGATACATTATTCCGATAGGGTTCTAATGGACTATTACTTTTAGATAGTTATGGAGGTAACATAGAGTTATGGGGAGTTATAGGGTGACATGGCTCCCCCAATATTTCTTAAATCACTCATAACTCTTTGTTGTCTTCACCACTTCCTGAAACCAATAGTCCGTTAGAACTCTATCGTAATAACGTATCCAATGCATTATACCATTAGAGTTTATAACTACGTTTCAAGGGGGTTAATGTAATTATCGATACCACAAGGACCTTAAAGTTATTTAAGTATACCCCAGGGGTGTGGGTGTAATTTACCCTAATTAAAAAATAAAACTTGCAAATTATTACAATTAAGGGTAAATTACAAACACCCATGAGGTATGATTAAATTACAAAAACACCCTTCTTGTTTAGATAATTACAACCACCACCTCAACTCCTCAAATTTAGTGGAATCTTCGAGATTATATGGAATATTATCACTTTTGTACTCATTTTATCCCACTCGAACTATACATTATGAAGCAAGATGATCATAATATGTGTTTTTTAGCTTGTATATATCAGTTTGTGGTGCATCGGAAACTGTATTTTTACACAAAACGAGTACAAACTAGAGCACATTCCGCGCAATCTAGATGATTATGTTGAATTTGGTACCATAAGGGTGGAGGTATAAGAAAAAACCATAGCTGAAGGGGATAGATGTAATTATCCAAACAAGAGGGGGGTTTTGTAATTTGACCATACCTCAGGGGTGTTTGTAATTTACCCTACAATTAATTACTGGCTGCAATGAGTTAAAGTACACCGTTTGGGCTTTCTTTCAACAGGCCTACGTACTCCAAGACCAAGTGTCTAACAATTATAATAAGTATATTTAATGGGATCTTGAAAAATATGTTGGCCCATCTAATTATAATATTTCATTTATTAAGAAATTGTTTTTAACTTTTTTTTCCAATTTAAATCCTCCTTGATATGGGCTCGATTGTCCTAAAAGTCCAAGTAATAATAATTTTACAAATAAAGCTCAGATCCACTCCCACATTGACCACTAAGCCCAATGTAGGGTAGTTATAGGCGACGAGTGTGACTATATTCGGCCCAAAGATAAAAGAAAGCTGGCGGAAAGCCAGCAACATGACATGAATTGAGGGAAGTACCACTTGTGGTTCAAAACGAAGCGATGATCCGCGCCCTGCTGGCTCTCCCCATTGAACTAGAGTCTCGACTTGCAAGAAACGAAACAACTCGTCCGCAACAGACAAACAAGGGAGATATATCGGTGGTGGGGTTTAGATGATGCATGCATGATAAAGAAAGTAGTCATGAGACAAATGGCATGCATGCAAAATACAGTAGGTGAGTTTAAATGTGATCGATACGATCGATCATCTGCCTTTCTAACTAATTCGTACCATACTACCTAAAAAAAAAAGCAGTAATTACATCCTCATTTTCAGTTTGCATGCTCTCTTACATCAACTGCCTACGTACGTTGTTTTTCTCTGGGCCTGGGGCCCACACAAAAATAAATATAAAAATATAAATTAAGGAGATGAAAGGAGAGAGGTGGGTTTTGTCCCATGCTAACCTTAAAAGTTAGGTATACACTTCTGGTTTCTATATCTGCTGTGATGGATGCATGGTTCCATATATATATATATATTGCTAGAAAATATATAGAAATAAAAAATATATAATGAATTGACAAGGTGTACGTGGAGATCGATATAAACAATGGATGATTTGAGTTATATCGGTGGGTTTTGTAAACTAATAATACAATTGCAGAAGAAGCAGAAGAAGAAATAGAGAAACTGAAAGTAGGCGAGAAATGAGAGCAAAAGACAATACCTTTATCGATGTGTGTCCTTTTTCTCCTCTTAATTTTCGTGAGCAATTTTGGAGTCATATCAATATATGTATGTCATATATATCTTAATTAATATACCCACCGTACCACCACCAAATATTACAATTATATTATGCCAACCACATTTTCTCAGTGATCAACTATTCTTCTTCTTCTTCTCAACTCTGCGACTGAAACTCGGTGTTCATTCGGCCTCGATCTTCTCTGCAGCTAAAGATTTTGGTGGGTTTTTTTTTTTTTCAAGAACTGTTTTTCTTTTAAAAATTTGATCTTTTTTTTTTCATTAATAATCCTTTTCAACACTTCAATCGACATGGGTTTTTCTTCATATTGGCAAATTCTTTGTAAAGATATGATCTTTATGATCTTGCATGCAAGAAAATGGATCATTTCTTGTACAATGCATGTTTCCTTGTAGTGAAAGAAGATCTTCTTTTTAAATTAATTAATGGTTCATGCAGATTAAATTTCGTGCTCTTTTTGTTAATTTCTAATTGCTCCGTTTTCCATCAAATATAAAGAGATCGTTTTATTTGCACATTCATCATTTATCCTAGCTCGTGTTTGTGCTTGTCTAATCTTAGTAGTTAAATACTGTTTGTTGGTGATTGTTCTTGTTCTTGCATCGAAATTAACGTCGTCGCTATAGCTTTAATCACACCATTATATGTATATGAGTTTAATTAACCAATTAGTCATTTTAATTAGCTTGAAATTGCCGTTTGCAAAAATGTCAGTTTGATGGTATATTAGTGAAATTTACAAAATTTAACTAATATGATATGCCTATGTATATATCCATGCATTTTGAGTTGATTTGATTCTATTCTTTAATTTGATTTTGCTTTCTTTCTTCATTTTCTCCAACTATTTCTTAATATATGTTGTGCCATTCTTATATATACATACATACATAAATACACACTATATACACAATTAATTAATTGTTGTTTAATATACAGGTTGAGTTTGAAGATGAACTACTCCGAGTCAACAAAAGCCGTTTTCGAAAGAATTCAAGATCTCGACCCGGAAAACGTCTCCAAAATAATCGGTTATCTCCTCCTGAAAGGCTACTCCAAACTCGAAATGATCCGTTTAGCCTTCGGACCCGAATACCTACTCCGCTCGTTGATCGAAAAAGTCAAACAAGACCTCACCTCATCTCCAAACCCTAGTACTCCACTACTCTCACCCCCCAAAACAAAACTCCCCACAAACTTCACCCCCTTCACCCCTTCTTCATCTCGTTCCCCACTCGAAACCGGACAACGGAATATTCCTCTAGCTACGATCCCGGCCACTTATCACCACCCATCGGTTCATAACTTCCAACAACCTCATCTGATCTTGCCCTTGGAAGATCAGTTCATGCAATACTGTCATGTGCATGATTTCTGCCCCCACTTTCCGGAACCTTCCGGAGCAATGATATGCGATAACTTCCAGAAGGGGTATTGTAAGTACGGGGGCGCGTGTAAGTTCTTGCATGTACTTGGAACGGAGAACGGGGGCTATATGGTACTTAACCCACCGAACGAGCCGAATATTGACCGCACGTTTTCGCGTGGAGCCCTCAAGCAACTCGAGGTGGAGATAATCGAGCTCTTGAAATCGAGGAGGGGTATTCCTGTCTCGATTTCTTCGCTGCCCATTCTTTATTACGATAAGTACGAGAGGGCGTTTATGGTCGACGTGTATCTTAGAGAAGCGCAATGCACCGTTGCTCAACTTTTTGCTTACATGACGAAATGCATTCGCGTCATTGACAGGTGTCATTATTAATGATCTTTCGTTACGTGTGTTTGTATATATATATATATAAGCTAAACTGAAGGTGATTAATGTTTTTAATTTTATTTTTAAATTTTCAATATAGGCCACATGGGAGGCAGTCGATTATTTTGGCGGATGATATACACAAGTACAATAGATTTATCGAAGAAAGAAACGGAGATGAATTTATTGCAGCGAATTCGTGCCAAGTTTATCTGACTTTTCTTCCGCAGAGTAGTTTCTCTGATCTAGATATTTACGATTATTTCGAGTAAGGAAAAAGTTTATTATATGTCTAGCTACTAGGTATTAATAATTGGTTACATTGTTGTAATTAACGGCGAGAATATTAATTATTATTTAATTTAATTTGCAGGAATTTTGGGCCGGTAAGGGAAGTTAGGATTCCGAATTTGGACAAGAGGATGTACGGTTTTGTGACGTTTGTTTATCCGGAGACAGCCGCCCTTGTCCTGACTAAAACGAACCCTCATTTTATCGGTGAAGCGCACGTCATGGTGAAACCTTATCGAAAGACAATCGTCCTTGATAGGTAATAAAATATACGGTCTCTTACGTATGTCTTCTCTGTTTTTCTTTTTAATTTGTCGTGTCTTGTGACGCTATTCCTATTTAATTCAGTGTCTCGTGGCGGTTATTCGACTTTAATTTACGTGCCATTTTCTGATAAATACGGGCGTTTTTTTACATGCACATGCGTATATGTTGAATTCTTGATGTGCAGATTTTTCGACGTAAAAATTACGACAAATCAAGTCTTACAATTCTTATAAGTTCTCCTTTTAATTTTAAAGATGTATCATACACGAACCTCTCGTCGATTTTTACGCATGCAATTATCTTAATTAGAATAATATTATTTCAAAATGTTGTGATTGATGTTGTAGTATATTCTCCGTGCAGAAAGACGGAGGAGAAAATCGAGCATGCAATTAACAGCGCTCCAAATCAAGATGCAGAATCCAAGCCTCCTTCAAGCAAGACTCCAACTTTTTCTTTTTTTTCAAGATTCATTTTTCGTTACATATATATATTAAAAAATTGTTTCTTTTTTTGGATGCATGCTTACATTATTGTATATGTATATTCTGTGTATGTTAGTAGTTGAGCTCAAGAGGAAGGAAATCGTCTCGGAGACAGATCATACGTTGTTGCTCACGAGCCAGTCGTCGTCATCTGATGGCTCCAGCACTAGTCAAGACAAACGTACTCACGTTAAGACGAGCATCAACGAGCCGCCGGAGAGGTAATTAATTAATATCTCAAGACAAATTAGTTCATCTTGTAACTCCAATTTTATTTATTTTTTATTTTTATTAATGATTGTAATTTATATTAATATTATTTTGGTAATTAATGAAATTTGCAGTTATGAAGAAATAGATCTTCCAGAAAGCCCATTTGGATATGAAGTTGCTGAATTATTCTGAGTAATGTTTTAGGTGGTTTATTCAGTATATATATTATTATATGTATATGTATATGATTGAAGTGTAATTAAGATAAATATGCATGCATGCATGTGTGTTCTGTTTGTAACTGTTCTACTTTGTTTGTTTGTTTTAAGAATCTCTCTCTCTCTCTCTCTCTCTCTCTCTCTCTCTCTCTCTCTCTCTCTCTCTCTCTCTCTCTCTCTCTCTCTCTCTCTCTCTCTCTCTCTCTCTATATATATATATATATATATATATATATATATGTTCTTCTTTGTCTGATATATTCTTATAATTATGGCTTTTATTTGTTATTAATATCGGATTTCATTTTGTACCTTCATTTTTGGACAATTAGATGCTAAATCTGGTTATTTACATTGGGTAGATTTCAACCGTCACTAGTAGAAAATTTGTTTATTACTACGAAATTTTTTGCTACAGTAAAAAATCATAATAAAAGGTACTTTTTACTACATAACAATTTTGAAGTCGTAGTAAATACTAGAATTTACCGTAGCAAAAAAGTATTAATTGGTACGGCCATTTACCGTAGCAAAACTTTTGTCACACTCGTATATGCTACATTTTGTACGAATGTAGTGCGTAAATCTATACTTATTCACATCGCGTAAAATTGTTGAATCTAGAAAGTAACATAATATGTTGATTGATTTCGCACGTTTTTTGCCGATTGTACTCATTGTCAGTACAGACGATGATCGAATTAATGATAAATAAATTTAAAAAAGAAAAAAAGAAGAAGAATCAAAGACAATAAGTGAAATGGAGACCAAAAACATTGGACAAAGGGATGTATGTTTGGACCGAATTGAAGTTGGACTATAATTTGCACTACTTTTAAAGACAAGAGACAAAAAATCATAAGGATGCATTGCACAGCACAGTAACGTTATAAAATGGTTTTGATATATGTTGAATCTCCTCTTCACATTTTATTATTATTATTACTGAAAACTGAAAAGACAACACTTTTGTCTAGGGGTGGTTTCGGTACGGTTACCGAACATTTTATTCAATACCGTGTACCTACCGTATCTTTTGGTATTGAAAAATTCTATACCGTTACCGTACCAACAATTGCGGTATACCGTTAGTTTCGGTACGGTATGATCGGTACGTGGTAATCTACCGTACATCACTGTGTTGATTAACTCGAATGATATCATAATTAAGATGAATATTAAATAAAACAAATTAAGCAAATGAATATGATAATCAGGAAATTTACATGAATGTACATTATACGACCGTAATAGCACTTCAATTAACTAATGATTGCTAAGATATCTATAGAAAAATTGTAGAAATTAATGAGCAAAAAAATTTCATGGTTTATATAAAGAGAAATAGAAAAAAAACTATGTTGCAATAATGCAAATGAAACAAAAGGTTGAGAATTAGGGAGGAAATAAAGGGAGAAGAAAATTATGGCAAAAAGTATTCCACCAATAAGAGATTAGTTGGACTTTGAAACTAAAGAAGTACGTGACCTAAACAACTTCAACGAGAGGCAAATATTGAGTTTGCATAAATATAAAATAGTAAAAAAAAATTATAATTATGTATATATAATATATATTGGATGTATCATATCTTTATTCTTGTTTTTTATTTTTTTAATAATATTTGTTGACTATTTATTTTTTATTTAACAATATAAATGGAAAAATATGTTAACTAATTTTTAAAATAAGTTTCGGTACGGTACGGTATTACCATGGTATTGAAGATACAATACCGCTACCGTACCGTAAGAAAATGGTACGGTACGATACCGTACCAAATGCAGTGGTAACCGATAGTTCGGTATTTATTCGGTAATTTGTGGTAGGTATACCGTGGTAATCGGTATTTGGTAATTTTTGCCCAGCCCTACTTTTGTCACATGGGAAAAATACCAATTCAAGTCAAAGTTTCTATTCTCAATTTTGTTTTCTTAGAAATTTGGACTTAAGTTAAAATGATTGGAGAAATTTTGCACACCTCCTTTTGAATTAAACTCACTCAATTTCAATTTCAATTTTTGGGAAGCTCGCCCCAAACTGGATCTAGGGCTAAATTCACCCCAATTGATTAATATTAATTTGAGGTATTAATATGAAATGATTAACATATGTCAATAAAGAATTTGAATTTGAAATGGAGTGGTTATAAAATATAGTATCGAATCAAACCAAATGGAGTGTTTGTAACTTATACGCATGCGCATTTGACGGTCAATCAAAAGGGAGAAAAGGAGACATGAATACTAGGATGTGACAAGATATAAAACCAAAGATGATGATAATAATAATAATAATAATAATAATAATAATAATAATAATAATAATAATAATAATAATAATAATAATAATAATAATAATAATAATAATAATAATAATAATATGGGTAAATTACAATAACTCCCCGAGGTATGGTCAATTTACGAAAAAATTCCTCTTGTTTGGACGATTACATATATCCCCTAAACTATGATTTTTTCTTACACCTCCACCCTTATGGTGTCAAATTCAACATAATCATATAGATATCGTGGAATGTGCTCTAGTTTGTACACGTTTTGTGTAAAAATACAGTTTCTGATGCATCACAATCTGATATATACAAGCCAAAAAACACATATTATGATCACCTTGCTTCAAAATGTGGAGTTCGAATGGGATAAAACGGGTACAAAAGTGATAATATCCAATATGATCTCGAATATTCCACTAAATTTTAAACCACAAGGGTAGACGTGTAAGAAAATTTATAGTTGAGGGGTGGTTATAATTACCCAAACATGAGAGAATTTTCGCAATTTGACCATATATCGGGTGGATGTAATTTATCCTAATAATATTAATTAAAGGAAAGAAGATATGGATGCGCATGCAATTCGTGAATTGTTTTCTCTTTTATGTTTCTTGTATAGTAGTGTCAAGTTGATTAAAGCATTTGAATGAGTTTATGTCATCACTTCTTTAATCAAATTCAATCTATATTTAAAATAACTTTATCTTATTATATTACTTGGTTTTGTCGGGCAAATTATTGTATAACTATATATACTAATTGAGCTGAACTCGAATCGAGCTTCACATCTTATTAAATTAAAAACATTTCTTTGATTCATTATGCAAAAAAAAAAAACTGAACTTGAATAACGAGCTTTTAAAGAACGATCTTGAATCGAATATCGAGTAAGTTGTTTAATTAACTTATTCGCACTAGATAAAATTTTATGTGCTACTCCAATACTAATAAAGTAATCATAGATATTCACATGTTTTTAAAACCTATATAATAATTAATTTCAGAACCTTGTATGTGATCAATTAAAGTAATAATCAATTGAGTAGGAAATGAAATATATTATGAATTTAAAATTAAAAAAGAAAAAGATAAGTGTAACAACAAATTCTTATCTGCGATATAAACAAACAAGAAAAATTGAACAAAGATGATTTTATTGAATTAAAATAAATAAATTGCGGGCTACAATCTCTATTTTAATCCTCTGATTATTCTCTCAAGAAAAATATATGATTGACTTTGAATTTCGGAGACGAGTCGTTGATTTGATCTTCTCCGGATTTGATTTGGATTTGAATAACGTCTTCCGAGGGTCTTGCGACTTGAATCTCGGATCGAACGTTGAACTTTGACTTGATTTGACTTGAAGATTTTGAAGTTCTTGATGGATTTGGCCCCTCAATCTTCCTTCGATCTTGATTTGTTGAACTTTGACGGGCGTTGACTTGAAGATCTTGAAATTCTTGATGGATTTGGCCCTTCAATCTTCCAGTGATCTTGACTTGAATTGATTAACGTTAATCCGAAGGTTTGGCACCGTTATCTCGGATCGAACGCTAGATTTGACGAAGAACGCCTTGAATTTGCTCAAGAACACCTCGAATATGACGAAGAACACTTTGAATGTAGAGAGAGAATCTTACCTCCTACGAATTCTTCTTCCTTGCTTCTTGAATTGTAGAGAGAATTTTGCTCCTACGATTTCTGCTCCTTCAGTTGTGTTTTTAATTGTGGAGGGAGGATTCCTATTTATAGTGGTAGAATAAGAGTCCTTGATGGGCCTTACTGATGATGTGGCGCGATTTGATTGGCCCGATTTAAATTGATATTTATCTCTTGTAACTTGGAAGAGAAGAAACAATTCTATTGGCCAATAATTAATTGATATTTATCCCTTATAATTTGGAAGAGAATAAATAGTTCTACTGGTAAATATATATTTAAAATCAATTATCTATTTAATTTAGGAATTAATTTAATTAAATCCCTAGATTTAAAATAGAAAATATGTAATTGATATTTAAATATAGATACCAATATACGGCACATAATCTTGATTTGATTTGAATTTAAATATTTAATTACGGAATTGCCATGGGCCATAGAATTTAAATAGAATTCCTTGTTTCGTAATTGCACAATGGTCCCTTTCTTTTGGATAAAATTTATTTATCTACAAATGCCCCCACGAGACTTGTTCACGGACGATGCGTCTTGAAGTGAATAAGTCACGATAATCACTTTTATTTATTTATTTTTTTTTGTTTTGTAACAAACATCTCCCAAGCTCAACACTTTCAAAATTGAGCACCTTTTGTGAGATCATTGAAATCGTAACCCATACTTAATAATAAAATTGAATGGGCCCACCCAAATCACAAGTGCGGACGGCTAGAAGCATCAGACTTCCTCATGCTTAGAACTTCTCCCATTCTTCGATCTCTTTTTTTTTTTTTTTTTTTTTTTTTTTTTTTTGAAACACTCGCGCAGCAACACCGTAATTTTGAACTTCTAACTTCAACGGGTTTCTCTGCATCATAAGTTGGGAATTTTAATTTACTTCGAGTGAAACATGAGGATCGTACGATGAGAGAATTTTAATTCTATATGGGCAGTTCTCTTCCAATTCAAATCGAAGTTTAATGGGCAGTGACTCTTCTCTGCAAAATAAACACTCCTTT